AGAGAAAAAAAAACTTTGTATGGTAAAGTCTGAAAATCGGTAAACGTCAGATTTCGTATAAATAAATAAAAAAGCTAAAAGTGTACAATTGATAGTGTAAAACGTAACTGATGTGAAGGAACAAGTAGATGGACAAAACTTCTCGAGTCCAGAAGGGGCCCAAGAGAGATATTGTGTCGGCTAAGATATATGGCTCACTCGTGCTAAGCAACCAGGAAAAGTTTGAAGACCATTTTATAAAAGCCCACTCGCTGTTTTGGGGAGGAGACATAAAGTTTTTTGCGGAGGGGGGTGGAGTCGAAATGTTATATCGTTAGGGTCATTATGTAATTGTCTTGGTATTTTCAATATACTACAAAGTTTTAAATTTGGATGGCATAAATTTTAGGTGTATTCAATTAAAACATTTTAAACTCCATTCAAATTTAGATGTATTCAATCATGATTTTAAAAGACTTTATAAAAGTTGAGGTGTATTAAAAAAACTCATTGATTTTAAAGGAAATACAAAAAGTAGGTCATGACAAATCTTTGCCTCTACTCAGAAATTTTGATATATATATATCATTTTTATTCTTAAGATATGATTTCACCACCGTTATTGCCACCCCAAGCATGGCTTCCTTCAACAAGTTGGTTGAGTAGACACTCACGGTTCAAATCGCATTTAATGCAGTTGTTCAACCTTTTTTTTGCGGGAGCATTTTTGCTAACCACTTTAACCATAGGTGTACCCTCACCACCCTCCTCAATGCTTGACACGTGTCCATAGACATAACTATGATTCCATAAATACAAAGCAAAAGTTAACTATGGTTATGTCTATGGACACGTGTCAAGCATTGGGGAGGGGGGGGAGGGTACACCTATGGTTAAAGTGATGAGCAAAAATGCACCCTTTTTTTGATGTCTGACTTCTTTTCAGTTGTCAAAGTCCAACTCGAGTTTTAATTTGGGTAGTCGCGCCATTAGATGAGAAAAGCATTTTTGAAATATAAACAGTTTTATTTGGAAAGTAACAAATATTGGACTTGCTTGACCTTAGGCTTATATCTCTGGGTATTTAATTTTACTAAATCGAGCAAAACCCAAATGGGTTTTTTCCCATGTTAGGTCCAAATAATTTTTAATACAAGGGATATTAGAGGAATGGGATTCGAACACAAAATCTCGGATGCAGGGTAACTGTTTTTAACCACTTAAGCTACCAGTCCCTTACAAAATCCCTTACGAAATCAACCTATGTGATGTTGAGCTTGAACAAATGCCTCTTTCTACATGGCACACGTGGCCTCACTATAAGTTTTCCACGCAGCTGAAGTTAAGTGACTGGAGAGCAATTTGCTTTCACCCTTGACATGTACCTCTTTTGCTGATGTCCTTTAGGCCAAGAAAATGGGATTGAAACACCACTCACATTGTTTCACACTTTTAGTGCTGGAAATCATGTATATACTTCCTTGGCTGGCCTACTAAAAAATTGATCAAACACTAGTTGTAGACCTCATGATCTCACTAACCCATGTTTGGACATACTAAAATTATTTGATTGTGGTAGATGGAGGTCTCTGATAAATCAATTTCTGGTTTTTCTTGTGGTTGTAAATGTTTTCTTCTTGTTTGAAAAAGAAAAATTTGTGGATTCATATAGGATGGCTCCAATAATTGCCACTTGCTTTACCCTCTGGCATGTCAAATCATGACATTCCAATTTGAATCATGAAAGATGTGTGCAAGTGAATGTTTGTTCTTTACTTTCACAAAAGGTTTGAAAATTACTACTCAATGTTCATATATATATATGTGCATCTGGCTAGAAAGGGACCCTGTCGAACAACTGCTTAACCTGACCCTAGCCCCATATGGTAATTACAATGAAAGGTCAGTTGTTTTTAATGGAATCGATTTTTATGGATAAAACCAAGAAGAGACCATTGGGGAAAAATATATTACGAACGTTTTTATGGTCAACTTTTGATGAAATATCAGTACAGAGTAGTGATATTTAGAAGCTCACGTTTTAAGGTCAGTTTATTATGGATGCAAAGAATGTTAAAATTTCGATCGATGATAGTCATGAGACTAAATCTAAGGTATGTTGAATGAGGAAATGACAGTAGAGGTGAATGACTTTTCAGTTTGGGGGATTAGTAGGGATAAGCTTTTTATTTATTTATCAATACTGTGCTAATATCCTACCATTTTATAGGGATTAGATGAGATAAGTTTCTTCATGAGTAATCCATCTTCTACCCTGAACTTGGTCGAAATTTTAATTTTTTCATTTCATCCTTTAACATGCTTTAGTTATATGAAGTTATCATATCCTATCCAATCCTAGGCACCAAACGAGCCCCATAAGTATTTGCCCTTCTTTCGTATTCAATTGGAAAGGAGTTGGGAGTGGGCTTGGCATTGGATCATGCCTTGGTCTTTGTCGCCTCGGGGCTTGTTACAAATGAAGTAATGGGCCATTTCACAACACAAATTCAAACAAGGCATATGGGCTGGGCTTTTGTCCACTTTTAATAGTAGACCAAGCTTATGTTATGAATTGGTATATTCCAATACATTATGGAAAATAAAATCCGAGAGCTTTCTTTCTTGTTGACTTGGGAATGGGAATACGTGGAGGTGACAGTCAGTAAGATCCAAATGGAAAATGATGGCAACATCAGTGTGCTCGAATCCATCCATGTACAAAAGAATACGTCTAAAACAAAATCTAATTACCAAAGTCAATGAAAACGAAGTGAGATAGAGGAAGCTCCAATATTCGATCGTTGATTGATTTATAATTAAGTTCATCAAACAAATGCCATGCATAATACTCAACGCCCCACTTTTGAAAAGGACCGAACAAATTTTTGGATCTCTCACTTGGAATGTCGTTTACTGCTATAAACTTTATTTGAATTTGAATTTCAAATTATCAATTCGAACATTTTGTAATTGGCGTGGGTCCATCTTTCATCACCACGCTTGTTATTTGTCCAACGCCCCACTTTTGAAAAGGACCGAACAAATTTTTGGATCTCTCACTTGGAATGTCGTTTACTGCTATAAACTTTATTTGAATTTTAATTTCAAATTATCAATTCGAACATTTTGTAATTGGCGTGGGTCCATCTTTCATCACCATGCTTGTTATTTATCCTAAACCCTAAACCCTTATTTATCCATCTGGCATGATGCCCTTGGTCCCAATAATTTCATATTTTTAGACAAGGCAATCTGGTTTTTTTTAGCTTGACTTTGAATTTGTGACTCTTTCAATTCAGGAAAATAGGGTTTCCTAAAACCTATTAGGAAAACTATGGGTACAATAAAGAAAGAGCGACACACATGTAAAACAATACACATTCAACCAATATTTCAAAAATCTACCTCTAACTTTAACTTCGCTTTCATTTATACCTTTTTGTTTGGTAGAATGGTCGTTAGACCCAATATGGATGTGATGCCTCTATCCGACCATACATGAGTGTAGACTTTGAACACATAATGTCTTTTAATAATATCGATACTAAATTATACTCCACCAAATGATGAATAAGTTAACGCAAATTAGGTGTAGTTGAACCCATGAGATTTTGCTGATCCTTTCAAATATCTCATAAAGAATTATTCAAGTAAAAAAATTTAAGCAAAAGCCAAGCAAACCCTTTTGAGATTTCATGATGTATTCTTGTAACTTTACATGTATATTTAACACATTAAATTCAAAGTCAAATGCAATATATAGAGGCACAGGAGAAAAATGAATATGCTAATCAATGTGAACATGAATACAATTAATTACCTGGTCAATGACGAGGCAATCAATGCCAATTCGCAATTTCAAAATATATATATAGGATTGTGAAAATGATTTTTCTTGATGCTAGGGTTGAAAGATATGTGATCCTTTTTCAAGACTTTATTTTGACCCCTCATTGTATGGAAGTCATCATCAAAAGGTAAAGATTGAGGGCATGTTTACGTAATCGGAATGTGAATGGGTAGAATAGGAGTCATTCTCATTCCGGATGACTCCTTTGTTTATTTACACTGGCGAAATGAACAGTAATGAGGGGCCCACAACAAATCTCATTCACGATTCCTGATATTGAAGAGATTTGATTCCGGAGAGGGGAGGTGGGATTGGAGAAGGGTGAAAGGGAATCAAGTTTTACATGCAAAAAATACCCCTCACAAATCTATTATTATTATTATTTTCATATGAAAAGTTGTAGTAGTCTTTGGTAAAAATACATAATTTGTTTAAGGGCATTTTCGTAATCAAAATGTTTTTCATTCCAATTCATGATGGATAGTAAACATTTAATAGGAATGAACTTTATTTTCATTCCAATTCTTGACAGTTAGTAAACAATTGGAATGCATGACTCCGATTCTTGGTTAACCCGATTCATGGTTACTCTGATTTCTGCTTATCTCGATTCTTGATTAGTAAACATGCCCTTAAGTTTATGATTAAGAATCTAACTATACATATACTCATAAAACCACCTTATTGCTAGAGGTCCCAAGTTCTGATCACCCTCCTTGCTGATTAAGAAAGAAAATAACCGAAACGAGAGAAAGTATGCCATTACCTTAGGACTGAGGGTGCAGACATGAAGTTTGAGTTAATTTCAAAGCTAGTGTCGTTGCCAAAGTGCAACATGAATGATTTTATGATGACGGACCATCCCACCAATACTCAGTAATTAACAGCTTGGTATGAGAGAGATTATTGTCGTGGAGTTCAGATATTATTTTAGTACATGATGCTGTATTATATTAATTAAATTCTAAGTAGCAAAAGAAATTTTTATTTAATTATCATGTTCTCCCTCTTAGTTACAGCCGTTCAAGCAACTTCATATTCAAGAGATGCCGGCCAAGGTCGGCTCTTACATAACATCTACAATATATATGGACAGAACACAACTGATTTGTTTAATTATAAGAGAAAATTAAGACTTATCAATTTCATCATTTGCATGCATAAGCTAGCTTAATATAATTAGCTCTCAATATCTGAAGAACTTATCCCAAGTGCCATGGGATCCTCCTTGAGTGCTTGCTGTAGTTCAGAGAAGGTAGATGAAGAAAGGTATGTTTAATATTTTCATTTTCTTCTTCTTCTCTACCTAAATATCAATTCCAAATTAAACTAGGTAATTAATTATTTATGTAAACTCTTAATAACTCTAGCTAGCATGATTTAGCTTGGATTGATTGTTTTTGTTAAAAGAAATTAAGTTTTGCTTGCTTGCTTGGAATTCTTAGGGCTACTCGTGAAATTGGCGGAGGTCAAGCGTCATGGAGAATATTTTCGTACAAGGAATTGCAGACGGCTACCAATGGTTTTAGTGATGACAATCTGCTTGGAGAAGGAGGGTTTGGAAGTGTCTATTGGGGCAAAACCAGTGATGGTCTCCAGGTAATTTTGAAAAGAAAAAAAAAAACTAATTAATACCCCATGTTACTCAGCCATGGTTTCTTTTTTATAATTGTTTGAGTACATATTTAAATTCAGATTGCTGTGAAGAAGTTGAAAGCAATGAATTCAAAAGCTGAAATGGAATTTGCAGTTGAGGTTGAAGTTCTTGGAAGGGTTAGGCACAAGAATTTGTTGGGGCTTAGGGGCTATTATGCTGGCGCTGATCAGAGGCTTATAGTCTATGATTACATGCCAAATCTTAGCTTACTTTCTCATTTGCATGGCCAATTTGCAAGCGAAGTTCAGCTGGATTGGAAAAGGAGAATGAAGGTTGCTATTGGCTCAGCTGAAGGCCTCCTGTAAGCATAATAAACTATACACTTAATTATATCGCTTCTTTTATTAATTGTTCAATTGAATTCGAAACTATTGACTACAACCACATTAAGGGTTGATCCAGTCCACCATAATATAATCAACCTACCAACTCGGCCCTTCAGTATAAGCACCATATGGATTTAAATAAAATATTTTAAAACATGAATTTTTTTTATTTAGAACAAGGGAATTCAAACTTAGGAGCTCTTTCAAAAAAAGAAAAAAAAAAAAGAGAGTTTACAGATGGGATTTCAAGGTCAATTGTTTTGCACATGTAGTAAGATCAACATACAATAGAAAATGATTATGGTAATTGACAATGTTCTGCTGCTTTCGATTATATTTGAGTACTTGTGTTTACACCATATATATACTAATTGACCACATTATTAATCACATCTTTACCATAGATGAGAACCATTTCATAATTGAGCCCTTTCATATGATTCAAATTATGAAGGAGGGCAAATAATGAGGTAGGATTATAGTATGTCAAGGGTTAGATCTCTTCCAATATAACGAACAAAAGAATTTTTTTTTTTTTTTACATAAGTTGGTCTTTTCACCTCTATTCAAGAGATCACTTCACCAAAAAAATGTGTACAAATATTAGGTCTATTTTTTGCTTTCGTTACCAAATCAAACCAAATAAAATTGTACCAAATTCTATATATACCAAAACTTCTGGCATTCAAATACTTTGACAATTAAAGTGTTCTTGCTCATTGTATTTGTGGGTTTTAGGTACTTGCACCATGAGGTCACCCCACACATCATTCATAGAGACATAAAGGCAAGCAATGTGCTCTTGGATTCAGATTTCGAGCCACTAGTTGCAGATTTTGGGTTTGCCAAGCTAATCCCAGAAGGTGTAAGCCACATGACAACACGAGTCAAGGGCACATTAGGTTACCTAGCCCCTGAATATGCCATGTGGGGAAAAGTCTCTGAGAGCTGTGATGTGTACAGCTTTGGGATTCTTCTTTTAGAGCTTGTGACTGGAAGAAAGCCCATTGAGAAGCTCCCTGGTGGAGTGAAGAGGACAATAACTGAGTGGGCTGAGCCACTCATAACCAAAGGGAAGCTCAAGGAACTTGCTGACCCAAAACTCAGAGGAAACTTTGATGAAGCCCAATTGAAGCAAGCCATCAATGTTGCTGCCCTATGTGTGAAAAGTGAGCCTGAGAAAAGGCCTAAGATGAAGGAAGTGGTTGATATTTTAAAAGGGTATGAGGCTAAGGCCAGATTGACACCTTTGAGAATGGAAAGTGTGAGATATAAGGAGGAGCTTCTGGCACTTGACCAAGCTAGTGATGAGGAGGGAGATGGAGAGGCTGATGAAAGCAATAATGGTTATGGTGTTTTTAGTGCTATAGAGGTTCAGAAAATGCAGGATCCTTACAAGGTCCTTGGAGAGAGGAGAACGGCTAAATACAGGTGAGGGAAATAGGCCATTTTATTGTGCTCCATATATATAGCTCTGGATTGTCAATATAAGCTGTAAGTGTGTTCCATAACAAGTGAAATTGGTTTGAGATGCAAATTTGAAGATGTATTGACTTTGGTTGCATGTATGGACTTTGAATATGCATGTATTGACTGAATTGTCCAATTATTGGTCCTTATATTTTGGACTGAATTGTACTTTGGGTTCTTTTAGTCTCAATTAAGCGATATCTCACATAGAGAGATTCGAACACAAGACCTTGAATGCAGGATACAAGTCCCTTGCTATATGATATATATCCTTCTAGTTAACTATAACCATTGAAATTGGGCCCAAAAATCACATTTCCAACAAATTTATTTGTAGAAATATGAAGTAAGGGTTAATTAAAGAGAGTTGTTATTGACACTTTAAAATAGTAATCATATAAATTAGATGCTAATAACAACTCCCTATGAAAATTGAAACTATACATAGATGAAATTGAGTTCAAACTACAAGACCACATATACAATTAATCCTCATGTTTTTTTTTTTCTTTTGGGAGTTAGAATTATAGTTTAGTCAATAATATATTAATTAATTGAAGGTACAACCGAAACATCCAATTATAAAAAAGAAACATATCATCATGTGCTGATGATGCCTCAAATTGGTTTAGGATGGTTCCTCTTGGAATACTCTTTGCTGACCAACCCCTACCCCACACCATCAAAAGAAAATTGGTGTTTTCTTTTTCTTTTTTAATCTTTTGAGAAAGGGGGAATGCAATAATAAAGACAATAATAATAATAATAATAATAATTACATCCATAAACATGAGTTATCTACTTGTTTACTTGATTTCCAAGTAGTTATCTATTACAAAGCTAAACGCTTACTAAACTTTAAAATGATATGCAAATGATTTGTAACTCAAGTGGTTAAGAATAGTATTTATCTCTGCACCCAATGACATCATCATTTTACCAATAAACACAATGCCAATACAAAAAACACATAACTAGAGTCTCCTACTCTGAAATTCAACATGTGTATCATGAAGAAAATTTGGTTATTGATGTTTTGGCAAATTTGGGTCATCATCAACAAAATCTTTGTATTTGATTTAATATGTTCCCAAATTCTATGGCTATGTGATTGTTATTTGATGGAAGGAATTTAGAGATTCCTCGAGGATCCGCCTTGTAATTGTTTTATTGTACTTTAAAAAAAAAGTAATAACTAGAGTCTCCTATTTTATCAACTTGTGTAGCCTATTTTTTGTTCTTCTCTGTCTATCTCTCTGTTATCCAAGGATGAAGTAAGAAACTGTAGTGTCCAATCAACGTTTCATGAATCATGATAAAGGGAAGGGGCTCTTTTTGAAGTGGCACATAGAACCCTTCCTACCAAATCCAACAAAGTAGCACTTTTTTCTCTTTTGGCTATATTTTGGACGACTCTCTTCTTTTGGCTTACAAAGCAAGACAAATCAAATACGTGCCCACCAACTTTGCTTATACCCCAAAGCACCCAACCACAACACTTAATTGTGTAGCTAGAGTAGCTAGAGAGAGAGAGAGAGAGAGAGAGAGAGAGAGAGAGAGAGAGAGAGAGAGAGAGAGAGAGAGAGAGAGAGAGAGAGAGAGAGAGAGAGAGAGAGAGAGAGAGAGAGAGAGAGAGAGAGAGAGAGAGAGAGAGAGAGAGAGAGAGAGAGAGAGAGAGAGAGAGAGAGAGAGAGAGAGAGAGAGAGAGAGAGAGAGAGAGAGAGAGAGAGAGAGAGAGAGAGAGAGAGAGAGAGAGAGAGAGAGAGAGAGAGAGAGAGAGAGAGAGAGAGAGAGAGAGAGAGAGAGAGAGAGAGAGAGAGAGAGAGAGAGAGAGAGAGAGAGAGAGAGAGAGAGAGAGAGAGAGAGAGAGAGAGAGAGAGAGAGAGAGAGAGAGAGAGAGAGAGAGAGAGAGAGAGAGAGAGAGAGAGAGAGAGAGAGAGAGAGAGAGAGAGAGAGAGAGAGAGAGAGAGAGAGAGAGAGAGAGAGAGAGAGAGAGAGAGAGAGAGAGAGAGAGAGAGAGAGAGAGAGAGAGAGAACAGTCGTCCAATTGCCACTGTAAAAAAGAGGTTTTCATGCTTCTTAAACAAGACTAATGGAATGAGAGCTAAGCTGGCCTCACACTACTCTAAGTCTCCAACTGACTTCATCATTCTGTTATTTCTGTGCATATCTGCATATATATATTCTTAAATTGAGTTGATGTGCTTCCATGGTCAACAACAATCACAACAAGTACACAAATAACTCAAACTGCTTCACATACTCATTTGCAAACACAATGGTCCCTTCAGCCCCTGCTAAAATACTCATAGGCATCTCCACAGACCCAAATGATAGCCAAGAGTTGCTCTCATGGGCAATCAAAGTTCTATCTCATCCAAATGATACCATTGTTGCCATACATGTTCTTGGTCAGTATGTTTGAATTAATTTACCATAGTTTTTTATTGATCTTTTTATTTTTGGATATCTCATTCATTTACCTGCTAATTCAAATTTAAAGAAAAATTAGTGAGTGTGGAAGAATTGCATTTTTAACATAGCCAATTTCATCAGTGAATTTATTTGTATGTGTTATTGAATTTGCTATGTCTTGCACGATTGACTAATTTTCAGTTGGGGAGGAGAGGAAGAAGCGCGATTTAGTGGCGAAAAAGCAATCACAGCTTCGTCGAGCAAAAGCCTATGTGATATCTGTGCTTGGAGAATTTGCCAGGGCTTGCCAATCTAAGCAGGTGACCTGAAGTAATAAGTGATGTGGAAGATTATCAACTTCTTTTGAAAATTGTAACAAGCTTAGTATCAGTAACCTGCTGATGCAGTATATTCTACAGTAGAGTTATAAGGCTAATCTGCAAATAACCATTAATTTTCAAAGACTAATCTGTAAATACAATTAATTTTCAGGTGAATTTGGAAGCCAAAGTAGTTTTTAGCTCCAGCATTGGAAAAGGTCTAATTGTGGAAACAAAATCAACTTCAGCAGACTATCTTCTTCTTTGTGGCGCAAGAAACCATTCAATTAGGTGGAAACAAGCTTAGTCTGAAAAGTTTCAATGTTTTTTAAATATGATCTCTCATGACTGACATTTTCCCCTCACTGAATTAGAACTCCATCCATTACAAAATATTGCTTCAAGCATGCCCCAGATAGCTGCTCTCTGGTTTTATTTGGGAAGTCTAAGCAACCTCAAGAAAATTCAGATTCACATTCTACAGACTCAAAAGGTAACTTATTTCGAAAGCTTTTTTCGGATAGCATAAGAATTATTTTCGTGGACTGTATTCTAATCTGTCCCTAATTACAGAAAACCTTCAACCAAGTCCAATTCATAGTGGCAGAACTACATCCTCTTCTAAAAAGCAAACTGTCCAAGAAACAAGGAATACAAATCCTTCACCAAGAACTGTTCTAGGTGAATTTGAAGCAGAATCTCAGAGCACAGACGATTATAGCGGTAGCTATGGGGACTCTGCCCTCACAGAGTCTCCTTCTCTGGCTCCTCCCATGTTCAAGAGCCAAATAAAAATAAGGAAGCGAGGATTGTCACCTTGCAGAATTATTACTTCTTTTTTAGGTTCACCATTCAGAAAAAGAACTGGCAGTTTATCCAACAACGAAAAGAGGTTACCTTTGTTGAAGTGCTTCAGCTACGGGGAGATCATGGCTGCTACAAATAGCTTCCACCCAGGTAAAAGTGACTGTACAATTAGTTGTCACAATAATATTGAATATTTCTGATAATTTTTTTTGAAATTGTGGTGTTTCATGAACCTCGTAGTGCTGTTGGTTTTTGCTTATTTGAAATTCTCATATCATTTGGCTCTTCTGAGTTTCAGATAATATAGTAGGTCGAGGTGGATATTCAGAAGTGTATAAGGGTGACCTTTCTGATGGACGAACCATTGCGGTTAAGATGTTGGCCAAGGACAGCAAGGATGCTAACAAGGAAAAAGAGTTCCTCATGGAATTGGGTGTAATTTTACACGTCTGTCATCCTAATACAGCTAACTTAGTCGGTTGCTGCATTGAAAATGGACTCTACCTGATTTTCGATTTCTCTCAAAATGGAAATTTGTCATCTGCTCTGCATGGTAAGAACAATACACTGCCTCAATTTCAGTAGGATTCACATGCATATATATCTGTAAACATTGTATGAAGACTTTGGGGAAAAAAAAAAAAAATTCGAAATATGTTGTACCTGGAGGGGAAGAAAAGGGACATACCATTGAAAGTAAAAGTCGATTTTGTCATTGAGACTAATTAATTAGAGCAAGTTCACTTAATTTTGCAATCTACAAGCTGAGTTTCTCAACTTTCACCAATTATATTCATGACCTGTTCAATTGTACACATTAAGTATGCCTGATACGAACAACTTGCTGATTACTTGAGACCCTCTCAAACAATATTTCTTCAGGGAGATCTTGCGAGTCACTTTCGTGGCCTATCAGATACAAGATTGCCATTGGAGTTGCAAGGGGTCTGAATTATCTACATAAATGTTGCAAGCACCGAATAATACATCGAGACATAAAAGCCTCAAATGTCCTTCTAGGACCAGATTATGAACCACAGGTGAAGAAGCAAACAACTTACTTCAGTACAATGAGCTTGATAGCGTTATCGATCCATCTAAATTCAGATGTAATTTTATCTCTGTGTAGATTACAGACTTTGGACTAGCAAAGTGGCTTCCTAACAAATGGACTCACCATGCTGTGATTCCGATTGAGGGTACATTTGGATACTTAGCACCAGAGTACTTCATGCATGGAATTGTGGATGAAAAAATAGATGTTTTTGCATTTGGGGTTCTTCTTCTTGAAATTGTAACCGGAAGAAAGCCTGTGGATTCATCAAAGCAAAACCTTCTCCTCTGGGTAAGGAATTTCTAAACTATATAAAACGCATGTACACATACACACACACACACACACACACACACATACACCCATACATATAAGCCTGTGGAAGATCAAAGATGCACCCAATCTATGTTCTGCTACAGAAGCTATTTCTTGTTTCATGAAACTTGAAAAAAAAAGGGGGTAAAATGAAAGACTGACTTGTTAGAAGCAGAAAAAGGGCAAATAAAGACTTTAGAAGCTCCAAGCATGCCTCTCTTCTTGATATTGGATCAAGCAAACTGCAAAATTCCTTATTTTACAATATATATTTGTATGTAGGCAAAGCCTCTTATGGAATCAGGGGAAATAGAAAAACTAGCTGATCCAAAAATGGAAGGAAAATATGATGCAGAACAACTGCACAGAGTAGTGCTTACAGCTTCGTGTTGCGTGAGACAATCCTCGGTATGGCGTCCGCCAATGAGTGAGGTACATCACTGATTCATTATGCATTATTCTGGGCACAATAAATTCATCTCATCATAAATTGAACTACGATTCTTTATATATATATATATATATATATCTGTTCTTCTTTTTGGCTTAGGTGTTGGAGCTTCTAACCCATGGCCATAACTCAGAGGTTGCAAAAAGCTGGATCCCTAAGTTTTCATCAGATGAGTTGGATGATTACTCCATGGTTTTTGGATATGATGTTCCAGTAGATATTGATTTGGAGGCCTACTTATGAGTATTAGACCCTTGTTTTTATTTATTTATTTTCTGCATTATGATTTTAGGTTTAATTACTTGTGAAAAAAGAGAGGTCCAGTTGACTGTGTAAAACATAAAATTAAAAAAAAATTAAAAAAAAAGTTGGCTTCTTCCTTGTAAATTTTTCCATTTTGTTTGGGTAATTCAAATACCACAATTCTGTTAAATTCTTGATGCAGCCTAAAGCCAGAATCTACTATAACCTAATAACTACAATTGCCTCAACTCTGAGTTGAGAGGAAAAAGAGAACACAACGGCGCACCCGAATCGAGAACAAGAACAAAATTTGCACTCAAACAGTTGACTTTCAAATTCCAGAACAGGTTTGAATTTGTACAGTTTTGGTCAAAGAACAAAAATTTCTGAGATGAAAAACAAAGAAGCTGGTCTAAATTCTTAAACACGATAAAGGTACCTCCTCGAGGTTCTAAAACTGTAGGGCGATGCCAACTTTTCTTCTTCTTCTACCTCCTCTGTTTTCGACATAAAACACCGGTTTATAAATTGCAGCTTCACATACTTGTCTTTCAACTTATGACTATGATTCTTGAGCAACGCATTGTTGGGAATTTTAGTCGGCAATTCAGGAACCTTTTCTTGTTGTTTTTCAGCTTCAAATCTTCTTTTTCGCTGCATATTCTTTCCAGATTGAACCGACGGCTCTGTTTCAATTTCCTTCATGTTGATGACTTGTTCTGATGGGGGCATTGCTACGGGGTTTGGGAAATACTCATCACCAATCTTTATCCACTCTTTCCCAAACACTGACATAAATTTTTCTTCTTCTTCTTCGTCTTGAGATGACATCGAAAGGTGGTCTTTTGGCTTCTCGGCTTGCTCTGGCATTTGCCCGGATTTTCTCTCTGTTTGGTTCACTTTCATGGAAAATTTCCCAGATGGGTTTTTGTGAAACTTGCTGAAAGATTTTCCTATTCTCCAGCTCCTTCTCCTTCTTCTCTTTCTCCTTCTTGATCTGTGCTAACAGAATTGGGAATGTTTGTTAACCACTTTGTGTGATGTGGATAGGAAAAGAGTAGGTGTTAAAATTTGGAGGGAAAAACTAAACAGAAAGGCCCCTTCGTAACGGTTAACGACTTTGTGACTCGGACAGTGTTTGTCAATAATTTTTTTGGTTACAGAAAATACAATACCATTTATTGAGGAAAGAGAGAGAACTGAGGAAGTTGTTGAAGGCATTATTTATTTATTAATTTTTTTCTTTGGTATGACAAGGTACTTTTTCTTATAGATACACAGAGATTTATGTTTACTTACTAGGAATAGTAAGGGGTTTGTAGTGGTATTAAGAGCAGCTCGAGGTCTTATGTTCAAATTTGATGGGGAGAAGGTATTTCAAACACAAGCCTCCAACGAAATTGCACCAGCACTAGAAATATAGAACAAACACTCACAATATGTGGCTAAACTTAGTTGCGTTTTCTTATTATATATTCTCCAAAAATTCAAAATGATCCACTGGTCTACAAGAAAAGATTTCAATAATAACTACCTCCTAGCAAAATACGGAAAACCCAAAACACAAGGAGTGAAAAACATAATTCCAGTACAAGCAGGAAAAATAAAACATAAGAAAAATATAAAAGGAATTAAATCATCAATAGAGAAAACGCAATCTCCTAATTTATTTAGGGACAATGCTTGGCTCCTGATATATCAGGAGCCATTCCTCCTCCGTTGCTGACGTGGCTTCCTTAAAAAACAACACGTGTTTCTTCTTCTTCTTTTATTTTTTTTAACTGTTTTTCTTTCAACTCCATGAACTCAAGCCTTAGTTCCGAGAAAAAATAAGGATTAGAAACCACCTATACACTACTCGACCACCAAAACCCATGTGGCCAAGGCAAACCCAACCACACCGTCGTGACCCCAAGCCACCCCTAGGCAAACCCAACCCCATTACTGTCACCTCTCTCTCTTCTCTGTATCAATTCCCATCTCCTCTCTCTCTGCTATGTATCAATTCCTAAATCCTAATCCCATCTCCTCTCTCTGCTCTGTATCGATTCCGGCCCAATTCGACAGAATTAATGGATTTAGCCCCCTTTTGAACAATAAAATGCATATATAAAATTGATAGCCCCTTGTCCAATTGGGAAGCCATCTGTTTCAATAAATGCTTTTGAGTTTTGAGCTTTGGCTGTGGTGGTTATGGAGGTTGTAATAAGGAGGGTGGTGATGATAGTTATAGTCAGACCCTAAAATCAGTCAAGTTCATGTCTTTTGTTGTGATGTGAGAAATGCTCTGAAAATCAGCTTCCCAAAACCCTTCGATTGGCTATGGATTTTAAAGAGGGTAAAATTTCCTAAATCAGCTTTCCTTTCCAAGGTTACAATGTCAACAAAGAAGCTTTACTTACCTAAAATTTCCAAATGGTTTTATATTTGTTCCTGTAATGGTTTTATATTTGTAGATATTGGTTATGATGAAACTCATAACTTGTTTATCTGGAACCCATCAACTAGATTCGTCCGCAAATTGCCTATCCCAGATTTTGTGGTTGTGGCAGAAACAGATTTTGTGCTTGAGTTAATGGAGTTTAAAGAAAAACAGTAAAAAGAACAAAAGAAGAAGAAGAAACACGTGTTGTTTTTTTAAGAAAGCCACATCAGCTATGGAGGAGGAATGGCTCCTGATATATCAGGAGCCAAGCATTGTCCTTTATTTAGGGCAATAAACTTTTAGGTAATTAGGAGGCTTGACTGATCTCTTGGGCTTCCCTAATTTGGCTGCAACAGTTGCCTTTTCGGTGACAAGATTATCAACTGATTGAGTTGATTGGGATGCTTCACATCAGAATCCCCCCTCCCCCAATATGTCTTGTATAAGAAAAAGGGGCTTTTGATAGAAATGGTCCTTGAACTTATGTTCGAGTTCCATTTTGGCCCTCTAACTAAATTTTTCACTTCAGTGGTCCTCTAACTCTCTCTTTTGTATCAAATTGGTTCTACTGTCAAATTTTGCCGTCAAATTGAGGGGTAAAACATTGAATTTGAGCATTAATCTCCTATATATGACCAACTCAGCTATGTAACAAACAATTCCCTTCATAAGCTATTACTCTCTCTCCCAAATTGAAACCTGAAGTGTCCTTTGTATCCCATAAGAGTAACGGCTTATGGAGGGAAATGTTCATAGATGAGTTAGTCGTTTTAGAGGAGAATAGTGCCCAATCCCAATTTGATGACAAATTTGATGGAACTTGACGGTAGGACCAATTTGACACGAAAGAGAGAGTTGGAGGACCACTGGAGTGAAAATTTTAGTTAGAGGGAAAAAATGGAACTCATGCATAAGTTCAAGGACTATTTTGGTGAAAACCCCAAATAAAAAAAATTACTTACTAGGAACGACGAAGTCATAAATCAGTGAATTAGGGAGTGAGTTTTATCACCTTGTCAAAAAATGAAAAAGAGAAAAAATTGAATTGGATTGATTGGTAATTCCTTAATTCTTTCTTCACTGCCCAATTAAATTATACAATGTGTTGAATTTTTGGGACAATTAAATAAGGGTGTTGATTTTCCCACTCCCTCTTCGTCCATTTACACTCCATTTTGTTTTTTACTATAACATACAAGGGAAGTGTAAGTGGACAAAAGATGAGTGGGAACATACAATTCCCAACAAATGGAGTGTAAATAGACAAAAGAGGAGCAAGAAAATCTGCTCCCTTAAATAAATTGGGTTTCTGGGGTATATAATTCCTTATTTTTCTTTTTTCACTACCAACTAAATTAGAAAATGCGTTGTTTCATAATAAAATAAATTTCAGTTTCTTCATCCATCCTGGTTTTGGGTTGATTCTTGGCCCTTCATGTTCATCATTTTTCTTCTAAATCTTAGTTTTTGTATAATTTTCACAAACATACTCCTAGTTAAGAGGTGGGCGGAAGATCATGAGAGAAGGGATGGGAGAGTGAGATGGATATAATGATAACGATAAGGTGCAAATTGTGAGTTTTAATTTGATACAATTATGGGGTTATCGGGGATGTGCCACTACTCGACTTGAAATCACTATAGTAAAAAAGATTATAGAGTCACATGCGTCAACTCCACAAACTTTCTAAACCACAAAACTATGAAGGAACACCAACTTGGGTGCCTAAGAACAATAAGATAAAGTTTGATGGCGTTGGAGGATGGCTCTTTCTGCTTCCTGACACGTTCGGCCCTGGTATGCCTGGACTCAAGGCGGGCATGGCAACATTGAAGTATGAGGATTTGAAATTAATGGATTCTAAATCCTAGAATTTCAAACTTCATTGTTTGGATAAAAAAAAAAGGTTGCTGTTAGAATTTGTGTGAAAGGATTTCAAATAAAATGTAATTATTTAGAAAAGAAAAAAGAAAATCAATCAGTTAAATACTACAGAAAATGAAAAATATATATATTTAAGAATCACTTAAAAATGTAAACAAAAAATGAAAGGAAAAGAATTGAAAAACCAACTCATACAATTTCATTTTCTTTTAAATTTTCCTTCCATTTTCCCACTGAGATGGAGGAGAGAGAAGAGATATGAGAAATGATGAGAGAGGAGGATATGTAGAGACGTGAGATGGGAAAGAGAAGGATGCTAGAGAGGTATGCATCTCACTAATAACATGCGCTCAAATTCCTAGTTTTAGAAGTCATTTGAAATCCTTGTATTTTTGGCCTATCAAATTTTAGGTGAATTTGAACCCAGACACAACCACCGCCTGCAATCCTCTCCGTTTAAGGGTTTTCCCTTGGAACCAAACCTCTAGTTTTCTCCTTCGGTTAATAAACCGGGCTTCTCTCCCCGCAACATGTTGTGGAGAGCTTTCATCCCGGTTTTTTGCTGGGTTTTGCTTTCCTTGCTTTTGCAAGGTTCTCGTCTTTTCCTCAATTTTCTTGGGGTCTACTCTCCAGCCTCTTGGGCTAGGTTTTATGCGTCTTTGTAGATATGATGCTTTGGCCCTTTATAAAGTTGGTTTGAGGTCGTATTAGATTTATTATAGCTCTATTTATTTATGGAGCTGGAGTTGTTAGTCATGGGTGGATCTACCATTTTCTGGGTGTTGTGAGATTAAGTGGGTTTCTGGAGGCAAT